AACCGTTTCAATTCTGTTCGGCGACCTTAAATTACTAACATCATTCTCACACCACCACCACACACACTCACTCACACACCCACGCACTGCCCGACTCGCACCATTTTTCTTGGTCGCCGAACCTCAGGCATTGAAAGTGAACGCCGACCACTACGCTCGACCAGCAGCAGCACAGCATACCCATCAGCCAGCCAGCAAGCAAGCAAGCAATAGACAAGCAGGAAGGTGCGAGTCTAAAACCCGTTACGGTAATTCGCTTTCTCCCTGACCCTCCTTTTGTTTTTACTTTTATTTTTATTAAAAGGGAGACCTCCTCATTTACCAACTGCCTATTAGGAAACACATCCTACTCTGCCCTGTAGCCCAGTATCTGGGGAACCTTAGGCTATCGTACGCAATTCAAACGGCGAGAAGTTACCGGTAATTTGGGAAAAGCTTCCACGAGTAGAGAAACAGAACGGAAGGGGGAAAGGAGCATAGTTTTTTCTTTTTTTCTTTTTCTTATCGCTGTTGCTATTGTTGCTGCGGCGGTGCCAAACTCGATTCGGTCACGATAGTGGCGAGCAGGACCAGTTTTCTACCGCACTCGGTTTGGAAAATCTGGGTCCAAAAAAGTCAAGGGCCAATTCACCCCTTCCTCCCGAGCCCGTCCCCGTCCACGATCCGCAAATCGAGGACTTCACCATACACCCACTCCACACACTTCGTGCTTTAACCCCCTCTCCACACCCGATCCCCGCCCACTCACAGTGCATTCCGTACCGTATACCACATAACCCTCCCCCTCCTCTTTTCTTACCTTGCCGGTGCCCCTTGTCGACAGGCGTCGAGATCACCTGTCACTTTGTAGGCGAAACTGCATTCAGCCTTACGCAGTATCCGAAAAGACCCCCCCTTCCCGCAGAGCATTTTTTCCCCTTCCAATCTAAACCCCCGCCCCTCCACCCTCAAAGCTTCCTTGAAAGTCGCCGAAATGGAGATCCCCTCCGATACCCCTGGCACTTACGCCCCTTACGACACTGTCCCTGGGGCTCCTGTTGCAGATGCGAATGGAAGACACCTTTCTTACTCGTCCTGTTCCGATACGGGTGGTAGCAACAGCGCTACGGACGGGTACTCATCGGCGACAAGTAGCAGCTATGTCGAGTACGTGCCGGCAGGATATCATCAAGGCCACGTCCAACAGCACGGGGGCATGGCCCCGGTGCAACAGCCATATGTAACCCACCCTCAACAGCCATTCCATAGCTCTCCCCAAGTCCACCAGCCGGGGCCAGCACCCTACGAACACACTGGCGCCTACACCGCGGGAATGCCACCACAGTTCCAACCCCCTCAACAAATACCGCAGCAACACCAGCATCCCCATCAGCAATCGCCCACATCCATGAATACCCCGATACCCCAGACACTGCCTCTAGATGCGGCACCTGACCATGGTCACAACAATGGCGCAGCGGGTCCGGAGCAACAGCAGCAGCAACAGCAACAGCGGCAACAACAACAGCGACAGCAGCCGCAACAGCAGCAGCAGAAGCAGTATCAGCGTATTGCCCGATTCGTCGGACCTCCTCCTGTGGCTAATGCCTGCACTGAATGCAGGGGCCGCCATCTCAAATGCGATGCTGGAGTTCCGTCCTGTGGGCGGTGCGTCGCCGATGGGCGTGAGTGCTCGTATGTGAAATCTCGTCGTGGGTGGAAAGGGTCGAGAAGACAAAAGATGGCGGCAGAAAAGATGAAGAATCAGTCTGATGATGGGTCGGACACGAATGGAAAGTCAAGTTCAGGTAAAGTCTCATCCCCCCCAAATGGTAATTGTTTTTTCTCCTTAAGCTTTGGATTGTGTGGGCTTGGCGTATTGAATTCTATCATTATCCCCGATCAACAGAGAGTGCTTGTTTTGCTTTCATTTTTTTTTTTTTTTTGGTTGCTCCGGGTGTATTTCATTTTTTTCTTTTTTCTCCCTTTCATTTTTTTTTTTTGATCACTTCCCCTCGGGGACTCGTTTTTTCCATCAAGCACCCAAGGCTCTGGGGCCCCTCAGCACGTTTCGGAGGTTACCGATTCAAAGATGAGGGGTCCATATTTGGTTAGACGGAACCCGGGCCCTCGGGGACTTGACTCGGGGAGGTGTAGTGGTCGCCGCCCAGCCAGCCACACCACTTGCACAAGCATGACCCCTCACACATCACGCATCAACCAACCACCCTCATACCAGAGACAAAGGGAGCGAAGGCGAGGATGAAAATCCAAATAAATCCAGATCCAGAGCCAAAAGGGGACCTCGGGTGGGAAGGGAAAAAAAAGGGAAAGGGGAAGAAATCCCCGGAACAAAAACAGGGAACGTCTTCAAATTTTGTGCCACTCGTTCCTCATTCGCTCCCTAGGAAAGGTCGAGTCAGGTCAAGACATTTTCCTAAGACAGCCAGCGATGACGAACCCGAAACCATGTTGGTCAACGCTTATCCACTGGTCTTGGCGCGCGTGGTTCGGCGACCTTCTCCTGGTCCAAGCTTACCCATCCCGCTGGCTCAGACATTTCGAGCAGCGACTCAACCCTCCGTAATCCTGTCATTTGCCGTGTTTGCTGTCCCTACGTACCTGGTCGCCATGGCTTTCCTTTTCCCGGGTCCGATATCTTCCCTCCCACCCCGTATCTCTGGTCATCATACGAGTACCTTATCCTCTGTGACCCGCTGATGCTCATTCGACCGAGTTGAGACCTCCCCGAGTCGCCTTGAACGGAAGAGAGACAGGACTGCTGCACTGTCCGGTTTTATCCTATATGATACCCTTCCTTACCTGACGCTCAACCGCCTTGCCATCGTCATCAATTGTGGTACCGTTTCCATCACCACCGTTGATTGGGACCGTCTGTTTCTCCTCGGGCCTCTTTTGTTTTTTCTTTTGCTCCTATTCTTGTCTTATTTTCCATTTTTATTAAATTCTGCTCGTATCTTCGCTGCATCCAGTTGTCTCGACTCGATAATCTTGGTACTATTTCGTTGGCTTGCATCTTGGGCACAAGATCTCGTTCGGGATCTACGACTTGCTGCACTTTGATCTTGTCTTCAATCGAGGTCGCCATTTGTCGTCTCTGCGGTTTCGGTGGGGGGGGAGAGGTCTGCGAGGTTACGGGGTTCTCGTTCATTTGCTAGATACCCTTGTTTCACTTGACCGGCCCGGGGAACTGAAGTCTCTGCCCATCGGCGAAGTTTGGAATCGACCGCCATCCACGGCGTCGGGGCCATTTTAATCCTTCGTCGGCGTCCTCGGGTCCCTCCCACCCCCCCGCCTTAAAATCGTACACGACAACCGCCTTAACACTTTCTACCCTACCTACCACCTTACCACCTTACCACACTACCCCCCCACCGTTCTTCTCTACCCCTCCCTAGGCTATATTTGGTCACGAACCTTCTCTTCTCTTCTCTTCTATATATATATATATATCTTGTTGGATTTCGGTTTTTAATTTTTAATTTTCATCATTCTCATCAGCGTTGTTTTTACCCCTTTAATCCTGTAGACCTTTGTTCCTGTTGTCACAGATCATCACTCACGATACCCTTGCACTCTTCTCTTTTTCTCTAAATTGTCCAAATGGCGAAAACAATGATGGGTTGGTCGCTCCATAATTCTAACACATGGTCGAAACCATTAGCACCTCCACCGCCTCCAGCAGCAGGGGCTACATGCTCAGCGTATTCGAAGAGTGCCTCGCCTCAGGTGCACGCTTCTTCATCCCCTGTTAGCCAGAAGTCGAGTGGCTCCGGAAACAACCCGTTGGATACCATTCGGGCACACTACCACGGCAGCACGGTATTCCGCTCCCCACAGGAATCCCAGACTATAATTCCGTTGACGGCGAACTTGATGCAATTGTATTATGCGTACTTTCACTCTGCGCATCCACTATGTCTCCCCCCTCAGTATCTTGCCAAAACCCCGCCTCAGCACTTGACTATCGTGTTGCCGGTGATGCGCTTCATTGCCTCGTTCTTTGCTACGACGGCTCCTACAGAGGCTTTCCGTGCGGAGGCTGAGGCGGCGTTATTCTCGCCCACCTCTCCACCGCCGAAGAATGGGTTCACTGTGCAAGCACTCACATTGTTCGCCATCGGTCTTCACAGTGATAATGACCAAGAGAGGTGTGCTGAGGTTAAGGACAAGGCTATCGAGATGGCCCTCGATCTCAGAATGAACCTGAGAGACTTCTCGGAGAGTTCCACGGATAACACTGAGGGCGGGAAGGTGCTCGCCGAGTGCTGGAGGAGAACGTGGTGGGAGTTGTACTTTCTCGATGGGCTCCTCGCTGGATTCCATCAGAAGGATCACTTCAAGCTCTGGAGTGTGCCCTGCACGGTTCCTTTACCGTGTGAGGAGCCCGACTATGGTCGCGGAGTATGTGTTCCTCTGTTTATGTTGATATCAAAATAAGGGACTAACGAACTGCAGATTATCCCGGAGCCACACTCCCTCAATCAATTCGACGACCGCTACTTTGCCGCTGAGCAGACTGTCTTCAGCTCTTTTGCTTACCGCATCGATGCTGTCCGCATCCTTGGCCAAGTCCTCGCCGTGGGACAAGACAGCAATCCTGAAAACCAGATGGCCGACGCAGCCGATGCGTCGCTCGTAAACTGGGGTCTCCACCTCCCGGATTGCAAGAAGGAGCTCGTCGGGAAGGACCGTCGCATAGACGAGATGCTCTTCCAGGCACACATGGTGATCAACGCATCGACGATCTACCTCCACAGACCAAAGTCCTCCTTGGCCTCCTCCGTCGTGCCGGACAACACCAGTTGCACACCGGAGACCAAGTACTCCACGGCGACGAAGCCCATCGCCCTGCACACGGCGAAGGCCCTGCAGGCCGCCAACACCATCTCGAAGCTCATCACCCTTCCGTGTCCGCTCATCAAGCACACCCCCTTCTTCACCTGCGTTATTACCCTCGCTGCCATCGTGCATTTATCCGCTTGCTCCTGGCTCCTCCACGGCGACGAGGGCTTCCTCGCAAAAGAGCGCATCCGCCTCGGCGTCGGTGCCTTGAAGACACTAGAGGAAGTGTGGAACGTTGCTGGATGTGTGCTCATGCAAGTCAAAGGCGTTGCCAGGGAGGTCTTTTCCCTCCAGGTACCTGAGGGCGAACGGTTTACAGGGATCATCACCGAGGAGGAAGTCAACAGGTATATCGAAGAGGAGAGAACGCTGGAGATTATCGGCGGGGACGCGGACTACCACGGCTTGCCGTCGTTGGATTGGAACGGGGAGTTGTAGTTTCCCACCTTGCGAGGGAAACGGGTTTGTCTGGCTTTTGTTGGAAATGGTTTGGGCGTTCTATATTTTTTATGTATATTCATTCATGTATTGTGATTGTCGTGCTTTTTTATTTTATGTTTTATCCCATTACTTTGACCTTTTTCACCCGTCTATTCTGTTTAGTTTGGACGAGATGGGAGTATAAGTTTTCCCTTTCACAGCCGGCCCAGCCTAGTCCTGTTTAGTTTTAACAGCGTGTAGTTACATTTGCTCTAATCGCTGAGTTTTGATGTGGAATTTGAAGGATTTTTTTTAATTTTTTTTACAATCTATTTTACCCATGCCTATCGTGATATATTGGTTGTGTTACCGCGTCGGGGTTCGCGAATTGTGAATGAGTTCAAGGCTTATGAGCAGTAATCGCCGTGATGCACACTCACGGCCCCAGAAGCCGAATGCGGAGGTCGCTAAGAATCACCCGTTCGAGGGGATGTAAATGGGGGGTCGGTGCATTGGGTGTCACTCGTGATGAGTTCGGGTGGTGGGGGTGGTATTATCCGTTCTTTAGGGCGTATTACAGGACAACCACTGTATCGTATCAATGACGAAAGTGAGCCAGCTGATAAATCCGTGTTTTATAAATATCCGAAGGTGAAAGCCCACCAGCCGCATACCGTACGTGGCATGGACATTGTGTGCGCAAGTGAGTGAGTGATTCTCCCTAACCGCCACGACCATCCACCCATCCACCCTAACAGTTTGGCGGAATTCTGTGTCCAGCGTTAGACTACCGTACTGCACTCACTCTGCACTACCCACCGCCCAACATGCCAGACAGGATTCCCCAATTTCCACCGCTGATTTAGACACTCCCACAAAAGACAAGCTACCGTATCCTACTTGTACTCGAATACCTGTACTGTACACTCGCTAGACAAGTCTTGGTGAGACAGGGGTTCTTGGCCTCTTGAACGGGCCCCTCCCACCCCCCCCTATACTTGTATTGTACGGTAGCCGCACCATGACCTCCGGATCCGGAGTGAGACTTCCCTTCTTACTTACCAATACTTTGTCTGGCGATTGTGGATTGTGTCAGTTACCGTACCGGTACTCCGTACTAGTACTAGTACTCGGCGAACGGATGAATATCCTTGCGGCGCAAACTGTGCTTCCATGGTTTTACTGTACTCGTACAGTATCGTACCGTACCGCACAGCACGAGTGAGACGAGACGAGACGAGACGAGGAGGAGGAGGAGGAGGAGGAGGAGGAGGAGGAGGAGGAGGCGGAAAATGTGCTGAGCGGTGGAAATGGAAGGAGGGTCGAAACGCGGGTACGAAAAAAAAAGGGCTTTTTTTCTCGAGAGAAATTAATGAGATTGGAGAATTGAATGCTGGACGGTATGGTATTGGGTGATGGGGGGGGGGGGATTCTAAGGTGTTGGTTTACACATTCTGCTTATTGTTCTACCGTAGTTGTGTAGGTGGGTATGGTAACGCACTTCTTGGGATGGTTTTGTTTTAGTTGTATGTGTAGCTGGAATACTTCTGTAGGGGGTTCTGGTATGGTATGGTATGGTATGGTATGGCTGGAGCGTGCCGTACCGGTAATTATGTCTCTCCTGTCGGGGGCATGGTGGGGAGAGTGCAGTGCTGTGCCGGTACAAGTACTGTAGATACTTCCACTATCAATTTTACTAAACACTCGCACGCTCTCATGTGTCGGTAATAGTGAGTTAGGTGCCAAACTGGGATCTTCTGTAACTTTCTTCGTGGTCTTGGGCTGGGAATCACCCGCTGGTCGGGGTCGCCGGGCACTGCGGGAACAACACTATTGATCACGAGCAATCACTCCTGCTTGCTTGCTTGCCTGCTTGGGCATCAGGGGTCAAACAGATGAAACATGCGCAGAGTGTTGGACGGGAGAGGAACAAGATCAGCAATAGTGTTCACTGGCTCTAGCAAGAGGTCCTGTTCGGAATGGGGCGGTGAATAAGCGTGCTTGTGAAGAAATGCTTGTGCTGGGGGTTGAGCTTCGTCATGGAGTTGTGACGGGTTGAAGATCCGCAAGGTGTAAGAGTGGAGAGTGGGTAAATGTAGCTCTCTGTCGCCGGTACGGTACTTATTTCGACAGTGGCTGACATCTGATTTGTCTTCTCGTGCTTATCACCTACCGTATGTACCTCCTCCAACCCTTTGATCGAAACACCTCATCAGGAACGGCTTTTTACTTTAAACGTATTTATTCCCGCAGGATCAGTCTCCCAAGCTGTGGATAAGACACCCGGTTTATTCAATTCCTTTGGCCTATCTTCCATCCCACCCCAATCCTGGAGAATACAAGGGGTTGAGAAAGGTAATTATTGGTGCTGGGAACCTAGATAACCAGGAGACATCTCGTGAATCGAATATCCCATTCTTTACCTCTGGCGATATCCCAGGACCAGCACCCCTTCTCTCCCCTTACGAGTAAGATGGAAAAAGAATGTGTAAATACTCCAAGAGTGAAGTGGGGACGGCGGTGTGAGTTAGCAACTGGCCACACCACCAGCAAACACGGATGAGCCATCGCCAGTACTAAACGGAATAATAACGAACAAAAAATAATAATTCTAGAGCAATCTCTCCCGCTTCCGGGGACGTTTCAAGCAGTATGGCGGGAGATGCGTTCGGTAACGCCCAGGGCCTCCTCCAAGAGGAGATTATGGGGTTTCCATCCACGCTCTGGGAATACCGTGCCGATGAGCGAGGCGCCCGATGAGAGGACAAGAGTATGATTCCGGACCGAAAGTGGCACTATAGCACTATACTGGAAGAGACCGCCCATCAGCCAAGCGCAATTTCGATCGACTTGAGTCTTTGCAGAGTGATTCCTTTACTGTGAATACCTGTCACTTGTCGGATGGAAATCAGTGGGTAGGCTACCGCAACAGTACCAGCGTGATCACCGGTTTAAAACATGGTCGTGTTTAGTGTGGGGAGGGGAGCAAACAAATGAGAATAGTCAAAATGCAGGAAAATGCAAATATGAGTGATATTTTGTGAGTGCGTTGGGTTATGATATTGGAGTATATCATAAGTATTAGGGGCTAAAGGATAATTTTTGTTGCTGAAAAAAGAAAAAAGATACTGAGTAGTGAACACTTTTTGGTATTCAGGTTCAAGTTTCTATATAGCAGCAATACTATATATATATATATAAACAGGACATGGGCCTGCAGAGTTGTTGCCAATAAAATTCTATAATTTCCAACTTACCGGCGGGCAGAATGGTGGATGATTCCAGAAGACTAAAGCCTGAGACAACTCTTCTGCAAAAAGATTTGGTAAACTTTTTACTACAGCGCTGAGCGTAACACGCACTAAATAAGTACTATCCCACGTCTCAGACTCACAAAAGAGCACAAACTTAGTATGAATCTATATTTTGTTACTTTCAGGAGCTAAATTCCATGCATAATCAATAGCAATTTTGCTTTACCATGATAAGAATCGCCTCCTGAAGCGGGGCTTGGCGTTGAAGCTAAAATTGTCATACTCGAATACTTTTTGTGGAGATGTCAATTGGACTTTAGTTTTCCTAGACCATGCTATTAAGTTGGATGGAATGATATGTCCTTGCAGAGCTGTTGACTGATTCTATAATGGTTAATTCATAATTCTTAGCACAGTTCAGATACCTTATGTGATTTTTTTTTAGTAAAGAGTATAAAAATAAAATAGATAAACCCTTACCAAAAATATGCAGAGGGTTGATTTCAATTGCATAAAATTATACCTCTCTTGTCTTTTTCAAACTCTGTCATTTCATGGCTTATTTGAGGTAAATTTTATATAGGATTTTTGGTGATCTTTAGTGATTTTAGATCTGTTATATGTTATGATAAAAGTTTGTATTACACATAGCCATATCTTTGACACGCTCTTGGTAGTACTAATTAGGGTGTAAGAACATTGCGAATGGGGCTGTATCATACTTAGCTAAATAGTTATCTCTTTGTTTATATTTTTTTAACTCAATAGTGCTCTGTGAAGACTTCTTTGATATTAGTAGCCTTCCAGCTCTTATTATTTCCAGTAGATAGTCAACTATACTAGCTGTGTCCGACAATATAATCAACTCCTATACAACGATGTTACGGGACCATACTAGACAGAGCTACCAGCATAGATGCCAAGTTTATGCCAGGTTATTGAAAATGAGAGAGGATTTAATTAGCTCGTATTTGTCTATGCTATACAATATTTCTATATATACTCAATATATTTTCTTGAAGGATTGACATGATATATAATACCCCCCCCCCCCCCCTCCAAATAATTCTATTTGCCGCATAAATTTTTTCTCAATCTTCACATTTTGGTCTGTTCGAACCATTTCATACCAAGGATACTTTTCCAAAACCTTTCCGAGAAACTTGACTGTTTGTAGTTCTATAGCTTACTCGGTATGCTACCCCCCGGATCCGTGATGATACATACAATACACGGGTCAGGGGCATTGCTCGCTAGTCTGCAATGTGTTGACTCTTAATCCTCTCCATCATGAGTTGTCACTCACTCAATGAGGTCAGTCAGCCCTGAAACTCCAGCCTGTCCTACGGCTGTACGAAAACCCATCGGATCTTACCCCAGCGCAACATAAATTGATCAGGTTCTCGAACAAAGCTCTCAATCTGTGAAACGTTTTCCTTCCGGGGGGAGAGGTCATTTATGGAACTAGCGGATAAGCAAGCAGGTCCCAGCCCTGCACCATCAACTGACATAATCTCCATCGACACAGCCACGAGGGAATAATTCGCAATATGATACCATACATACAAAGATACCGGGGTGGTGCTACGCTTTACTTTTGTCGAAACAAACAAGAGCAGTATCGTCAAAAAGAAAAAAAAATACATCCGCAATTTACCTGTCGGACAACCCCACGTTAACATAACACTGCATCCTCCCCCCCGCCACTCCCATGACCACACCATACGGAAGCCCTCCAACCCCCCAAAAGGCCAACCCCCCGCCCCCCACACCATCGTACCTCATCGTACCTCATCATACCCAGACCCTGAGACATGGGATCGAGTGAGCTCTCATGACCCCTTACATAACGTACTGACTGGTACGGTAGTGCATACTCTAGTGCTGATCACCGCAGATCAGGGCAAAACAAATATTTGACAGGGGGTACGTAGATGGTAAATGAATGCGCGCTTATCTAGCAGCTAAGTAACGTATCCGTTTCTCGAGGTGGCGGTGGAGTATTCTTCCGGATGGGTATTGTACAGTACGTGTGGACGTGAGGGTGGAATTCTACGTCGGGACTATCATAGTATTTTCCTCAGAATGGTCGCTGGAGTTGTAGCTGTGGGTGACGAGGGATTCATTATCTTCGAAGCGTAGGGGTGCTTAAAGTGGAATTGTGTTGGGGAGAGGATATCTTTGGCGCATCTTACTCTATTATTAGTGGTTACAACGAGGGTCGGTTCTTGTATCCTGGGCATTGGTTTTCTGGCCCTTTAAATCGAAGGATTGACCGCACGCTCTTCTCACAAGGCACTAGCTGCAAAAGCATGTTATGCCCTCGGGCCAGCGGTGGGATCACATCGTCTTATGAGCCCCCATAAAATACCATCACGCGCCACATCACAGAGAGTCGCGCCACAAGAGACCAGTGTTTCGCTCAATAATGCTGCCACCCTTCATAGCCTCCCCAGCCCCCCCCCTCCCCCCCAAATCACCTAATCAGCTTTTCCGTTTCATTTCACCCAATCCATATCAACCCATCCGCATCCCCAACCAACTAGAAAGAAACAAAAAGGAAGAACTAACAAAACCTGCTGGGGCATCTCATCTCAAACGAATGCAAGAATGGAATCATACAGGAAACGAAGAGGGGATAAAAAAAGGAAGGAAAAGGAGAAAGACTCACGCAAAGCAAAGTCGATTGATTTTGCTACACACCGCCGCAACAACAAAGACCGCTCATGAAAGGTTAATGAAGAGGGAACAAAATCGCGAACAAAAGGGAATTCTGCAAGCAAATGAGAGGCAATTGATATGGGTAAAAAGACAAAACAAAAAAAACACCTCCCTTTCATTTCTTAGTCAAGAGGTTCGACTTTAATCCGTTTATGCATCCAAAAGGAGTGAATTCGCCGCCTATAGAAGGTTAGCAATATTCAAATGGACAACTGCAAGAGTCCTACCCGATCGAGGTTGTATCCGTGCTTTTCGAGTGCCTTCACCGAACATTCTCTGTTAAATCCCATTCCGGTTAACTTGATAACTTTTTCTTCCTCCCCAAGCTGGCCGCCGTCCTCACCACGGCCGAGAGCGACGCCACCAGCCTCGATATCGGGGCCCGTACCACTCTGTTGTCTGGTATCCCCAGATGTTTCACCTCCAAGATTGCCATTAGTCTGTGTTCTCGGGAGCTGGCCCTGCGCCGGCTCCCTCGTGTTCAAATCGGCAAATATTGCGTCCCATTCCTGCGAGCTCGTTGTCTTCATTTCTTGCTGCTGTGGTTGCCCAGCCGATGAGTCAATGTTGAAGTTAAAGTCCGTGAAGCCGTCACCCGTAACCGCAGTTCCAGGTGCTACATGGCCCTTAGGTGACGCTACATCAAACACTGGATCAAAACCGCCGAATGCCGAACTAGTTTCAAAGTCGTTGTCGTCAGCCTTATCATCAGCTTCCTTAGCTTCTGCAAGGTCTCCGAACTCTTTATCAAACTCATCCCCGAAAGCAGTCTTTGCTGGCACAGGCGGGTTTCCAGCAGGCACTGGACTCTTGGAAGCTGTTGGAGGTGAGGAAGAGAACATGCTATTATTTTGGGCACTGGACGGGGGATTCTTGTTGGTTGACGAAGGAGAAGAAGAGAATAGGGAACTGCCCTGGCCAAACACATCGGCATTTGGATTTCCCGGGGCAGCTGAGGATTGGTTCAATGCTGGATAATTAATGGCATTACTACTACCGCCAGGAGTGCTCCCCTCGTGCTTCATCGCATCGGATCTTGAAGGCAAAAGTCCGCTATGTTCGGCTGGAAAGTTTCCCTTTTCCGTCCCTCCCATGGGCTTGGGCCCAGGGATGTATGACGGAGGTGACTGCTGAGCCGACACCGGAGGAGGAGGCGCATTTCCGGGCCCGGTTGGTGCAGGGCTGGTAGTTGGAGGAGGTGCTGTAGTAGCCGGCTGTGTGTGACTTGGTACGGGGTTGGGGTTGAAATTGTCCTCAAACCCCTTCTCATTGTCACTCTCACTATCCTCATCACGACCAACTTCCACGATTGGTGGGAACTCCTTGTTAAACTGGACGGAGCTTATACCAGAACCGCCAGTATGTTGTCGCTCTTGGGTCCTGAGATTCTTGAACGCGTCATCAATGCCAGAACCTCCAGTGTGTTGCTTCTCCTGACTCCTAAGGTTCTTGAAGGCTTCATCAAAATCCTTGTTGCGGTCTTCCTTAGCGCCAGAGTTGTACATTGGCTGGAAATCGGATCTGCTCATTTGACTGGTCCTGCTTCGGTTGCTCTTGACACTCTCACCGGTTGGATTTGGTTTGATGGGTGAGGGGAAGGCACCCGGAATGGTCCCACTTGTTCCAAATGTTGATCCAAAGGAGTCCCACTGTTTCCCCGATTGGCTCTGCTCGTCCCCCCCGGTTGTGTTGCCGGTGGTATTACGCTCAACGGGCGCCGCAAATGGAGACCTATCTTCGACTTTCCTGGACGGGAAGGGGGCCTTGGCAGAAGACTCAGTACCGGCATCACTTCGGACGCTCATGCTGCTCCTTCTGTCATCTGGCTTGACGAACGAGTCTCTCTCTTTCGCCGGGGGCTCGCTAACGGAGCTGCTGGCCCAGTTGGTCGGTGTATCGGGTTGAGAGAATTCGTGGTCACCTTGGTTGCTAGCCAATGGGTTGACTTGTACAGATGAAGCGACCGAGTCGGCGCGACTGACGGACATGGGCGGGAACGGTGTCACATGGGATGTAACCCCAGGAGGCGCGGCGTCTGCATGAGGAGAGTTGTGATAGGACGTTGGTGGAGATGTGGGGGGTGTTGAGTGCGCGGGTCCTTCAGAGGCCGACGGCACGGACGGCCCAGCAGCGCCCTCGGTCGTGGACCTTTGGGAAAAGCCAGTGGAAGTGGGGTTAAGAGAAGGCGTTGCAGAAAAAGAGGGGCCGAACACATCCTCCAAAGTTGTAGCATGCGCCGGTGGGTTGTTACCAGGAGCAAGTGGTGATGGGGGGAATGCAGATTCGGGAGCGGCAGGCGGCCTTCGATGGAATGGGTTGTTATTGAGGCTGGCTTGAGAAGGTGTGGGGCTGCTGGGGGGAGGAGGGCTAGCAACATTTGACCTTGTGTCGTCAATCTCACTCTTTAGTCGCTCACGCTCAACCTCACCGGTGGAGACCTGTTTCTTGTTGATAGCAACCATTCCTCTCTGCTGCCTTGCTTGGGATTGCAGCTTCTCAAGCTCTTGACGCAGGCTAATGTTCTCTTGGTTAATCACTCTCATGCGCTGGTTCAAGTTCTCATTTTCTCGCCTATCAGACTCGAGGGCCGAGGATATCTCCTGCTTCTTAGACTGAAGTTCGGTGTACGATTGCTCAGCAACACGATATTCGCCCCTCAAAGTCATCATCTCGTTCTTTGATTTAGCCAACTGATCCTCTGCCTGCTTCAGCTGTTCGGCCTCGCGTTCGTAGGCCGCCCTAAGTGACGCCAGCTGTCCCTCAATGTGATGCTTCTGAGAGCTCAATGAGGTTAACTCTTGTTCTGCCGAAGACTTCTTGATCTTGAGCTCCTGGGTCTGCTTGGTCAGAGTGCCGATCTGATTTGACAAATTAGCCAATTCTGTAGTCTCGTTAGAGAACTTTTTAGTGATTTCGGGATCAGCGTCGCCAAGTAGATCTTCCACCATCGATTGTGTCTGATGAGTCGCTGGTGGCGCAGAGTGATTCGATCCTCCGGTTCCTGAAGGAGAAATCATCGACTGTCCAAAGTTCGAGGACGGCACGAAGGCACGGCTTGGCCCGAAGAAATTTGGGGGCCCTTGCGGCATTGGCAGCTTGGGCTCGGGGACAGGGCCCGAAGAATTTGGCGAGACTGTCGGCCTGTTTGGCACTCCGAAGACATCTGTATCAAAAGGGCCAAGTGGGCTTTGGTTATGGGTGGATGGGGGCGCCGAGCTTGTTTGTGGGGCCGGAGTAGAAAAATCCAGTTCGAACAGGTCCTGTGACGCCGGCTTGGGCGGTGGCGGGGGAACAGGCGGTGGGGGAGGCTCAAACGCGGCTGCGTGCACGTTAGCGAGTAATCAACGATAAGCGAAGGGGTTGCGGATCATACATGGGCCCGCAAACTGCCCCGGCGCACGCATGCTGGGAGGAATCAGGTTCGGAGGAAGGACCTCTGGCAGAGGCCCACTGCCATCTGGAAAGTTGCGCTGCTCCCGAATCAGATGCATAGCGATAGCGAACTCCTCGCGGCTCAAACGTCCAGACCCATTAGTATCGGCAAGGTCCCAAATGCCGGCGAGAACATCCTCCGGAAGCCTGGAGTTTGAGAAAAACGGCACCGCCTCCTCGCCTAGTATTCAAATCAGAAATGCGTATCGGGGAATGACTTGAGCGCGCCACCTACCAGTAATGTACCCCTTATTCTGTTTATCGACAGTCAGGAAGACCGAGTCGAATCGCTCCTTATCAGCAGGCGTGATGACCCATTCCCCAGCAGCTTCGAGTTGGGCAGGCTGTATCACAGGGGGGGTGAATGTCCGGGGCGATTGCGCGTGGCCTTGCTGCAATGGTCCACTATATTGTTGGGGGATTGGAGGGACAGGAGGCATAGATGGTGGTGGAATGCCTCTCCCTGCCGATCTTCGATCGCCGTTCCGTGTAGGACCGCGCCCCGCGGCGGCTTCGTAGAGCCCGGGGGGCAGAATCTGAGGTAGTACAGGAAGAGTGCCATTCTTTGAACATGTGATGAGGTGCATGGCCACCACGAATTCTGCAGGACCCAGGGCACCGCGATGCTGCCGGTCCGCAAGGTTCCATATGATACCCAAGGTCTGATTTGATAGCTTGGCACGTTGAAATATCCCCTTTGCAATATCGCCTAGTCACAAGCAAGTCAGTCCCGAACGGACAGAGTAGACAGCAGTTGGGTCAATTGGTCACCTGGCAGATAACCCTCGATAGCCCCATTTCGTTCAAATAGCCCCGTAAACTTTTCCACGTCCTGAGGTGTGAGTGGCGGTACTCGGATCATCCCGGGACCCGGGATGGCTGGCTGGGAAGCAGACGGTGGGGGTGGGGGGGGGGATGATGTAGTGGGGGGAGGAGGGATATTGAAGCCCTCAAATCTAGGAAGCGGGCCAGCTAAAGCGGTCAATTACACCAAGTCAATACGTGGATCTCAGCTACGATTATCACGGCGAAAGTAGGAACTCCTTACGATTCTGTGACAATTCGGGCCGAGGGTGCTGCCCATTCTGTGCGTACCCGATCAATCTCAGGGCAACACTGAATCCAACCTTCGTGAGAAGTCCTCGATTATCGGTATCCGCAATGCCCCAAATCTAAAGGGCATATCAGTACGAATAGCTGGAACACGAGGCCGCTGGGGGGGGGGGCAAGAATGCACAAACCTCTCCCAAAATCCTCTGATTAAGTCCGGACTTTTCAAAAAACTTGACAGCGAGCTCTCCCGTCACAACGCCAAGTTTGTCGCTATCGGCGGCCTGGAAAAGTTGTCCAAAGACCTTCTTCTCCTCCGGTGTCAGCACAAGACTGTGGGGGGATGCTATCGGCCCGAATCAGTCACAGAACTCGAACGAGAGCAAGAGGATGTTCATTCCAAGATTATTACTTACCGGACTCCGATGTACTGTTTCTCTCACTCATGTTTGAGGTATGTTTGGATGGGGATGGTGGATGAATCCGGTGGCCGACGGGCTTGTGCTGGAAGATGAGGACGAGAGGGAAAGGGAAGAGACGCGCAATCAGATGTATCGATGGTGGGGTATTATTATGATTAGGTGGGGGATTAGGGAGAAGGAAGGGCGGGGGGAGGGGGTAAGGGCAAAGGAGGAACAACAAAGTAAGCAAACAGGGAAATATCGAAAATACAAATATGTTGATGAGCTGAGAGAGAGAGAGAGGAAGATGGAGGGATGAATGGTGGGGTTGTGGGAAGACTTGAGAAACCTTCAAAGGGTTGGGGGTTATGGTTGCGGAGGGAACCAACAGCCTCTCGCGAAGACCGACGAGGGAGACGATGATGGACGATGATGGTGGTGGAGTGGTTGGGAGAGAGGGACTGCGGCGGCTGGAGAGCGGATGTGCAGCACAAGCATCCAGAGGCACACAACAAGGCAGGCTCCACACCTCTTGCAGCTGCAGCCATTGGATTTCAGATGTTGTGGATGCTCTCGGTTGCTACTGGTGGCCAAGCCAGAAGCCTTCCCCCCTCTTCCCTTCTGAGGAGGAGGGAAAAAGGGCATCACAGTATTCAATTGGCTTCCCAAAACCCTTTCAGGTGGTCATCATGACCTTTTTTCCTTTCTTTTCTTTTCCTCTTAAAGCCGCCACCCACTTCGTCCCTCTGAGCTGCGGGGAGTAAAGTACCGCCTTCCACCCGGCTTTGCATGTACGGTACGAGTACTGTACGAGTAGAATATTGCCCTTCTCGAGGAGTCTGCTGGAACTGGACACTGTGATCCGCACCGCATCCACAGAAAATACTCGCTTGTAGCTATGGAGACACGTGCCAATCCACCTGCATCGCCATCTTTACTCGTACCCACACCGTACTCGAGTACTGAGCACAATCCTGCAACTTCCAGCGCAGAACCACGCTTCCGGAATCTAGCCGCCACAGTACTCGTAATGATTTACCGCCGGCGTATAACTCGATGATGGAGGTATTTAAGGCAATGCCATCTGCTATTCTCCAATTTCGCCCCTCCACCACCCGTACTGGAGCACCAAGAGTGAATTTGTGCGAGAATGGGACGGCACCGTAACCTCAGCCTCAGTGCGATCACCCAGTTCAAGGTCACATAATCTGCACGCCCGTTGCCATTGCCGTTATTCCTCCACCCTACGCGAATGGAACCGAAAGTCACTACAGTACGATAGCTAGGATAGCCAACGTCATCTTCCAGAAATCGGTGATATCTACCTGGAATAAATCTCGCTCCATTGATGCTAATAATGATAGTGCGGGCACCTCCTTGTGCCGGCACTAGTACATGGATGTCGGAGAAAGCACAGTCCGTGGACCCAGCCAGGCACCAAAGGAAAAAAGATGACAGATAGCTATATTATGGACGGAGCGCAAAAAATTCGGTGCAACATTCACCATCCCTAATCAGAACTTCCCTCTGCTGTCTCTGCCCCACTCGTTTCCACCCTTCCCTCCACTGCTCCACTTTCTCCTTCCACCGCACTGGTGGTACAGGCAGGTTGGGGTTCCTGCACCTCTGCCTCCGTCTCTTTGGCGGTCTTTCTCTTCTTCCGCGGGGAAGCCCCCCCAGCCTTCTTCTCCTTGGAAGCTTTCTTCCCTTTGGGCACTTTATCCTCCTTGGGAGCCTTTCCCCTCTGTGCCTTTTCAGGGTGCTCTTCTCCCGCAGCACCCGGTGCCGAAGACTCTGCTGCCGCGCCCACTGGATTCGCGCTACTTAGGCGACTCCATCTCTTCGCTCTGAGGAACGGGTGTTAGCAGACATTCTCAAGGCTTGGGGGGCGAGCGCATACGCGGCCTGTGTGTTGGGAATACCCCTTTCCTCACACACGGCTTTCCAGTTTGTCTATCGCGTGTCAACATCGGCTACGATGCCCTGGGCATCATGGAAGAAGGGAAGGGAGCCTACTTTACCGTCTCCGGTGTTCCGAACACACGAGATGAGAAAGAGGACTTTTTCTTCTTCCGGGATAGGTGGCATTTGTGCAGATGTGAAGGGATTGGATCAATTGCGGGTATATTTGTGACGAGAGGTTGGTCTGTCTTTTTAGATACGGGGACTCTTGTCGGTGTGATATATATCACATTGAGGGACCACCGAAGCCGGCCAACAATCTCGCATCAGCCCCTTGTACAAGAATGGGACATGCGCGTCCCTTTGATTTTCTCCAACCGCTGGTCTATTGCCAGTATATCCCCACACCAACTATTGCCGCTCCTCTCCACTGAAATTGTGCATTCGTGGACGATTTCCAGTGGCGGCCCTCCAGAACTATGGACCTCGCATCCAGTTGTGAACTCTACCACAGCTCTATCATTCATTGCGGAATAAAGGAGCAGTGTACTAGTACCGGTACCCGTACAAATGGTCACTCCCGAGAGCAGCCCTGGATCGCTTTTCAATATCAGGCGACGAGCCAAAATTTGTACAGTATGGTACACCATTCTTCTTGTTGGAACCACCGTACCTGTACACGGTACACATGCTGCGACACCCGGAAAAATGCTTCCTCGAATCACCAATCAGTATCGCCGTTATACATTGGGTATGTTTGGGTTTAAAGGGCGATAGTGCACGGACGCTATTCAATACAGGAAACCTGGGTTACATGTACGGTACAGGTACAAGCTATCGCGGAGAACAATGGCCCCTCCCAAAGCCCAAACGCATCGGGAACCAGCCCTGAGAGCGAGAGCCTCAGGGAACAACCCCGGACCCCACCATCCCGCACGGCATGTCCCAGAGCCTGAACCGTGCCAGATCCTGTGACGTATGATATGCTACCTTTTGGGACATTGCGCTATTGTATCATAAGCATTGTGATACGAGCACAAATAATCTTCAACCTACACTGGCACATCACGAACCTCGTGCAACTGAATATCACAACCCCTCCTTTCACATCCGATGATTTCATGGTTTGGTCTCCCCGACCGCTTCGCATGCCCCTTACGGTAAACCTGCTGATAAATTGTACGGGCCAAATAACGAGAAACAAAACAAAAACATTATTCACAAAAAGCCATTGAAAAGAATACTAAGATATCGCCGGAAGCATTATCAAACACGATAGCAGAGAACCCCCCCCCCCCTCCCCCTCCTCTGCGCTCACCAGTTCCAAACCCACTTCTCGTCATCCACCGGCTCATCCTTGATCACCACAACCCCCTCCTTCTCAACCGCCTTCTCCGGCGGTGCCCTTTCCACCATCGCCAGCGGCCGCTGCAACCCACCAAAAACCCCATAGCCTTCAAACCTCGCGCCTTCAAACCTCGCGCCTTCAAACCCACTCCCAGTGCCAGTGCCAACGCAGCAATACCCCGTCCCCTGAAACCCACTGAACCGCCCCTCCCTCGCACTCCTCCACCTGTGACCCCGCCCGGTGACGCCACCATCGCCATCCTCCCCCTCCGACTCACTCTTGATAAATATCGCTTCTTCAGTATCACCCTCCAGCTTAATCACCCTGCCACCGTCCCCCTCGGTACATTCTTGCTTAATCCCACGCCTCGTAGCATCGCCATCACCACTACCGCTATCCTCATCTTCCCCTTCATCCCCACCCTCACCATCATCATCGGAGCAAATAATCTTCCTTCTGTGAAGTCTAGGTCCCCTCCTAATAGGGCGGCCCCGGGCACTAGAATTGCTGCTGCCGGGAGAGGACGAGGAAGCGCCGAGATCTAACCCGCGGCGGAAACGGTAGTAACTGTCTGCGGCGCTGCGCACGTTTTTGTATCCGAGTTTATCGGCGAGTTTTTGAAAATCCACCTTTTGTCTTGTTAGCTACGAGGGGAAAGGAGGGAGAAGGAGGTATGGAGGAGAGGGGGGAAAGACTTTGACCTGACCGACTTGGCAATCGAGAATTGCGAGGAGGAACTGGACTTTTCTGTCGTTTTTGGAGTACATTTTTGTAGTGTTGGTTTGGTATGCTTGGTGGACGGCTATTAATTAGCCATTCAAAATCCGGAATCACAAAGTAGATTGAATGAAAATACAATACACACCCCAAGTTCCTCACCACCATCAATCCATCCAACCTACTCACATCTAAGCAATAGACAGGGCACACAAGCACCTATATATACCCCACCACACCCAACCAAAATGCACTTGCCCACCTGCACACACCCACCCCACATCCTGCACAATGTCCCTACATCACAATCTCTGATAGGACATAACAAAAGTAGATAAGTTGGAGAATAAACATATGTAGGAAACTTCCTTTGTCTGACATTTGCTACTGCAGAGTTTGCATAGATGGTTGTATGGTAAGAGGGCAAGGGGCAGCAGTGAGAGGAGGAAGATCATACACTGGAGTTTGGAGGGTACAGTGCAGGGAGTGTTGGGGTCTAGGTGGTAAGTAGGGAGGGCGGAGGCTAGTGGGGGTTGGTGGTAGGAGAGGGAGGAGGAGGTGCTATGGAAGGGAGGTGTGGTATGATGTTCAGGTTTGATATGAGTAGGCTAGTACTATCCATGGTGTGCATGATATGATGTCTTAAATCTGGTTTGGTGGTACTTGATACCATGAATTGTCACCATTTATCCCATGAGGGCCAGAGAATTTGAAAGGAAGAAGACAATATTGATTGACTGTCTAAAGAAAGCGGGAAGCAGCAAGATCAAAGATTGGATATGAAACACGATAGCTAAAGAAGGAAGCAGTTACCACGAATCCACACCGGAGAAACGACTCCGCCATACTATCTAGAAATTCGCAGGCAAAGTTGCCCACAGCGTGGGAGTATCCTGCTACAGATGAAACACTGGACACTGAAGAGGTCCCGATTGAGCAATACAGGTTAGAGCCCTAATCAGATCAATTCGTATTCCACTCACAATGTCATCGCCACTGAATCTTATAGAGGTGCTTCACATATATCACTCGGATTCTACGACATCACTCTCAACTTTTGAATTTGTGGTAACCCCAATTAATATCTCCAGATAGCTACAGAACGGGACACACACAACAAGGCAGTAAATATCGTGGTATCAATATTCTAATACATACACCTCCTATAATAGGCTGACTACTCAGAACCTCCACGCCTCCTAGAACCCGAACCCTCCCCCACCCCCTTCTACTCAACTTCCGTCTCCTCCTCCTCCCCAACCACATCCCCGCCTCCCCTCTCCAAAACCCTCGGGTCAATCCCCCCCTCACCCGCTCCGGAATCCCCTCCAAAATCCTCCCCGAAAGCCCTCTCCCCACGCCCACCCTCCCCTCCCACCGGCTGGCTCGGCGCCACCGGTGCCACCCCAACCTTCCTCGGCCTGCCGCGCCCCCTCTTCTTGACAACCCCACCACTCTCCTCCACCACCGCCTTCTTAACCTTCTCAGCCTTCTCGACCTTTTTCGCCGGTGAAGGCGGCGGCGAACCCGGCGCTGCGTCCGCCGCTTTCATGACGGCGCGCTTGATCTGGTAGAACCTAGCGTTTGCTACTGACGCGGACTTGTAGTTCATCTTCTGGGCGAGTTTCTCGAAGTCGATCTGTACATATCCTATATTAACACTTCCGAAGGATAGAAGGAGAGGGGGGGGGGGGCAGGGAACTTTTGGCGAGCCTTCCATGCATTCTAGGACTGCCAGGAGGAAGTCTTCCTTCCCCGCGCCGGTGGGTTTGCGACGGGTGTGGGAAGATTTTGGAGGGGTTTGAGGGGGGCTTGGTTGGGACATGAGGGTTTTGTGGCCGAAAGGGGTTTGACGGAAAAGGGGTGATATTTGGTGATCGTGGTTGGGAAAGTGGTGGGTTTAGATTAAGGAATGTGAGTAAGGGCTTTAGGAAGGGATTGGAGAGAATTGGGAGTGGATTATTGGATTATTCTGGGGGTTATATATTTTTTCTCTCGAGCCCGCTGAAAGATGATGGCTCGGGGAGGGGGGCTAGTAGCTAGGTTATGATACCTGCTGGTACAGTATCATACAGACTCCATTCAGTTCACCGCAAAAGTATCGTATCATAGCTCAGTTTAATTCATATGATGCCACCCAGAGAAAGCCATCCTTTTCCTCCTTTCCTCTCTTCCTTTCTTCCCTTCCGACCACGCACACCGGAAAATGATAGACGAGACCAGCAATGCAGGTACCACACATATCATTCCTCCACACAAGTTAGTCAAACCAGTCAGGTACCCCGCAGTGCAGATATGCCCGGCAATCTATCTGGATGGAAAGTCCCTTTAGCCAAGTATGGTACCTGTATGAACGCCCGTTTTGTACCACTAAAGGATCTACATCTCAGTTTCGTACAACGTACAATTAGATTATGACAGAACCCTCCGCACAAGCATACCCCTCGACCATGAAAGTCTATGTTCAAGTTATCTCTCCCCCCCCCCACCACTCCACTCAGGGCATAAGTTACCTTCCCGGTAAGAGTGGATACCGTGAACTTCTCCCTCTCTTCCTCATTTTTGTAGAAAAAAGTACTCGTACAGTCTGTACTTGTACGGGCCGTTGTACGACTAGGGTAGGAAAAAAAGCAAATAATGGCGAAACTTTGGTTGGCAAGCACAGAGATACCGTATCCTGTTACCCACATCCGTTGTACTTTTCCCCCACATACCCCTTCGTACAATGAGGATAACGAGTGGGGTGGGACGTATGCTCTAGATAGGTAACCCATTTAGTGCCGTAGCTGGAAATGTACCGTACAGGTGGTAGTCGTGTCGGGGTCATTGTTTCCCGTTCTATTTTTCCCTGAGCGGGATTTCTTGACGGTTAATCGCTCAGGTATGCATTGTCTGTACCTGGGACGTGCACGAGTGTGCCAGGGTATCACGGCCAGGCTTGATGCTGCGCTGTACTGTACTGTCCTGTACTGTACAGTACAGTACTGGTACCGATCACAATCCAAGAGACAACGACGCCGAACAATCCAATCACGCTTTGAATCCAAGGCATAAGTCGATCAACCAGAGCTCCTTCTCTACATTCCTCTTCAACGTTCCCGTAAGTATGTCTCGTAATGCAGATACTAGAGTACAGTACTAGTGAAGAAAGAAAAGAAAAAAAGCACCAGTACAATCCCTAGTTCCACTATCCTAAATCTCACGCCACATTCAACCATCTGAGAACCGGAGACACTTCTCAAACCCGTTACTCCCCATCCCATCCCAGCACACCATCCCGCGATCCAGCGGGATATCATGCCGTCCAAGAGAGCAGCACGAGCAATAATGTACCTCCTCCTCGTGAACTATTAAGATACGCACAAGCGCATAAGAAACATCCGGCTGTTTCAAGCATACTGTAATATCACGGGGATTATGAAACCGATCAATGCCCACGGTGCCGAAAACTAGCGAAACTGCTAAGTACTCGTACTATACTTACGCTCAGTCCGCTAAGAAAAAACCCGTCGGTTTGTCTCATTGACACAAGCCGAACGCCGGGACAAAGTTTATCGGGATGTTGGCCGAGCATGTGACTGGCTGGCTGACCTGCTTGCTGACAGACTGACCGACCGACCGTGCCTGCATTGTGCGATGGATACCGGTATGTTGATTGGTTGGTGGGTGGACTCATTATGGGATAATGCAGGTGTACTGTACGTACGTCCCCCCCCCCCCTCCCTCCTCCTCCTCCTCCCCACTTTCCCCGGAGATGGCGATTGTAATGTATGGCGTAGGACGATGTTACGGTAGTCTAATGCACCGGTATCGCGGTTGCCACTATCAGGGACAGCCTGAATAACCAAATCTCTAAAAACCATTAGTGGTGGATGGGGCGCTTTGGCAACGGAAAAAGAAAAAAAAAGATATGACAGAGATAATGCTTATACAAAGATCAATCAGCACTATTATACCAAGAAGCCACTTTTACCGGTATGCCTCCCATGAGTGTCATCGCAATGCCCTCTTACTAGCACAGCTCGATATACACAGCGCGGGCAGTCTCAGGGTTGCGGTGGCTGGCTGTGATCGACTTCAGGCTTAGTGTATTCTTGGCATCAAGAAATGTCCGACGTAGCACTTAGAATAAGCATATGTAATTTAAGAGTAATGTAATTGTGCCGTATTAGTAAATGGTGGTATTATAGCTAGTAACTTAGGTTCAAATGAATACCGTACCATGAGGAACGCTTATCCCCCCCCCCCCGGTGCATCATGAATTCCGAAGGCCGGGTTGGGACACTCTTTTATAATCCTAAATTTGAACGGTCTGCCATTTATGGTGCTGCCATGCTAACTGTGCTAGTACTGTGCTGCTGCTGTCAAGTTACATTTTTAGTGTGTTCTCGTTCACGTGCTGCACCTAAGCACAACTACCGTGCACCCTAGAAGGTTATCAAATTAGTCTCCCGGATCACACCATCGTCAAAATCAAAACTTAATAGCATGATATAAAAAAAAAGGTCCTTTGGTAGGCTTCCAGAATACACGGTTCACTCCGGCACAGCCCATCGTTAGTGACTCTACCACTACCTAGAACACAACCAATGCAAAGGGTAGCCAGCCCCCCCCGGCAGTGACATCCGTCCGGTCCTTCAGTATCTGATGACCATATTACCAAAAATGAATACTTCTATTACGGTAATCACCAACTAAAAATGCCTGTCAGATACCCACGAAAAAAAAAAATGATAATCCGTCTCAACCATCTACTGGCTCGTCGAATATCTCCCCCCCATAATTAATCTCCACCTCTCACCCCCCCCCCAATCCTTGCCCCAAACCCCTCACTACTCCTCCAATCCCCCCCAGTCCCACTCGCCACCTCCTTCCCAACACCAAACGCATTACCCTCTCCCACACCCATAATACCAGGCGTGAAATCCACACCCTTCTTCCTCCTTCTCGGCGACTTCTTGACAACCTTGCCGGGAGATTTAGCGGCGACAGGCTTATTCGTTGTGCCAAACGCCTCACTCCCGCTGCTCCCGCCCTCGCCACCGCCCGGGACATAAGATGAGGAGGAGGAAGGGAAGGGATCAGGCCCCGGCTTGACCTGCCGGAACTTTCGGCGGAGGTTGTAGAGCTTCTGATAAGCCGCCGAGGCGTTGCGGGTTAGAGTGGATTCTTTGGCTACTTCGTCGAAGTTTGTCTGGTGCTCACGTTCACAGGTTAGGTTAGCATTGTTGTTGTTTTAGCAGGGGAAATTGGTTGGTGGAGGAGGAGGAGGGACTTGCTTTGCCAGGATTGTGTTCTATGCAGAGCAGTAGAAACTCGATTATTTCTTCGTTTGGTGTTATGATTGGTGGCATGCTTTCCTTGGTAAACTATGTACCGGTGTCTCGTAAGGGTCATCTGATAGGTGCCAGGAGGGGGAATTGTTGGAATGGCTGAAATCGCGGGAGAGCACGAGGGCTTTGTATTATATTCTCCTTTCTGTCAGACTATCATATCCCGGGCTACCGTGGTGCGTTGCGGCTGTGTTGGATAAAGACTTGTTACTGTATCGTGAGGATTGCGCTTTGATGCCAGAACGATTCATCGCCAATGATTCATGATCCTTCGAGATCAGGTTATGACATACATACCAGCACTAGACCCTGCGCTGCCCTACCTGAATGGGTGTACAAAATCAATGAGTGGTGTTACTTAACCTGCAGTACGGTACTAGCGGCGCACCCGTACAGGCAGCTGTCAGGGCCGAGACTCCCCCCCCTCCCCCCGGTATCCATCCATATGTTCAGCTGTCGCCGCATTCCGGTATGATAGCTTAACCATCCACATGAAGTCACCACCCTGTACCTGGGCAAGGCAAAAGCCACTTTGTGACATAATTTCGCATTGCCCTTCCCCCAGCACGATCCAACCAATCGCAAAGTCCACCTCCCCTTCTCTCTCCTCTCTTGTAAACTGCCATAATTACAGTACTGTCTTGTCAAAAATTTCCCATCAAGAATTTGGTGTCGTACATCGCAGAGCTGTACTCGAGTACAAGCTGGGGATCACCATTGGGTCAGGGTAAGGCTTACGAGTAACGTATCATACAGTACTCGTATATGCAGTGCAGGCATCGAGCAGTGCATGTCTTGATCCGTGGCACGATCGTCAATTAGCCTCATGTGCAAAGTCGTTGGACTTGGCCTGTTTCAAACCCGGGTACCCTGCAGCAGCACGGCGTGGCAAGTCAACGTGCCATGGGAAAAGCAGCTTCGGTATGTTTCAGACGGGGTATGGATAAATAGATCCAGAGGGGTGGCACCGCTAATTCGCTCTTGCATCATAACCAGTCGATGGGAAGAGCTCTGATCGATGTCTCTGATTTAGATTTTATGAAAGACCCAGCGTCACTGGCACAGTACCGCACAGTACCGTGAGCCTGGGGTCTCCGGATGCAGGGTTGGTCAGCTTGAGGGGCAAGGTATCAGGTCAGTGTTCGCCTGTTCGTTGGACTTCGTTCGCTCGTCCGCCCCGTTCGTCTTTTTGCTTTTCCTGAGGTTTTTTTTCCTTTCGCGGCTTGATCGTTAGAAATGACTTGTGGGCCGTACCCGTACGGTACAGTACGTGAGAACAGGAGGGTAGTACAGCTCGCACCCGTACAGTGCTCGTACTGAGTCGTACATACTTGTAGTCTTGCTACCGACACTATAGTACAGCAGTTGGCGCTTTGATCCGCTCCTCGGGAACAGGTGAGGTACCGTACAATATAATATCGGTAAAAAGGAACCATCATATATGAGCTGACTGGAACAGGAAATAAAGTCATCTCATCAATAAACGATATGGGCCTGATTACAAAGAATCTACTGCAAGTGTTCTCCAACAGATCATCAGGTGTTCCCTTTTCTCCGAATCTCCGAGTCTCCCGATCTCTATTCCTTTTCCGTCTGTGCTTCATCTCTTCTGGATCATTTCCCAAGTGGAGTACAGCATGTACGGTACTGTTATCGAAAGTATAATATTATAACAACTCCTAGCCCCGTACTCGAGTACGGTAGATTGTGCACCTCGGGAAACATCGATCGCCTCAAACACACAGCTTGAAAACCGGCATCACGAAGCTTCGGGATCCTCCCTCACCCATTCACTGCCGTGCTATTCTCTACATCCACACACAAATCCCCGCCTCATTTCCTACCCTACCCCTACGGTTAGCTACTCTACCCCCATCTTCGTGACCTCGCTTCAGCAGCTAGCTAGTCAATCACATGTCTTGCATTCAGGAGAGAGCAAGTACGGTGCCTGTAGACAGCATCGAGCATACCGATACCATACCAGGACCTAGATTTCACAATCAGGTTAAAAATAAGCAGAAAGATTCAGGGCTAGTAGGCACGTAGGAAAGCGAGCGCCTTAGAGCGAAAGTGAGTGGCAGAAAGGAATCACTAATCGCCCTCCTTACTCCTCCTCGCCCCTTCTCGAACTGTTCTACTATCATTAAAGGGTGTAGTATCACACCTTCATTCAACGGCGCACTAACTCAGGTGAATAAGTCTCCTCATAAAAACCGGCCGGAGGCCCCGCCCACCCGTCTAGATTAAACCCAATCCCAAGTCGAATCCGACCCTCACAATCCAAAGCACAAAAACTCCCCGTACGCCACTGTACCAAACAGCGAAATTAACCTTGAGGGGCTGTTGTTTTGTCCTGTTGTTTCCCACACACCACCCCCCCCCCCCCTTAAATCTATATTTCCGATCTGGCTGCACCGCCCGCGATACTGTATATAATCGAGAGAATCGGCGGATTTGCTGCAGAATATACGATCCTTCCTGCCGGATACAACGAGCAAGCAGACCGAAAAGAAAGATAAGGAACAGTAATTCGACCTGGTGTCAGTCATGGCGTCCAGCGACGACTACAAATTCCTACTAAGCTGTTTGATGAATCATGCTGGGAAGGTAAGCCTATTCTGCCCTCCTCCTCCTCCTCCTCCTCCTCCTCCTCCTCTTCTCCCCCCTCCCTCCACCTCTCTACATTCTACAAATCTACAATCATAGTACTGACCACGACTACCACATCTCTTCGGCATTTCTACAGATCGATTTCGAAGCCGTGGCTAGAGAAACCGGGTATACAAATCCGCGCTCCGCATCGAATAGGCTAGCTTCTATAAAGAAGAACCATGCTGCCGCAATGGCTGCTGCCGCCGCCTCTGGCACGAGTTCTTTAACGGCATCTGGTTCCAAGGAGCAACCGCTGGCAGCGCCCGCCGCCCCCCCACCACAAGCGCAAAGTGCAGGCGCAAAGCGACGGGTGGGCAAGAAAGCGAAGGCAGTAAAGAGAGGGCGCGAGGAAGGAGAGGGGGGGGGTGCGCATGGTGCGGACCCAGAGGATAAGGCTTCCAAGAGGAGGAAGGGAACGGCAAGTGGGGATGAGGGTACCTAGCTCTTCGCAAGTGAGGTCGGGGAGGAGGATGATGGTATCAGTCAGTATACTTGTGGTTGTGGTGGCGGTGGGGGCGTAGACTGGTGGTGGTTGGGACAGGAAATTTATTCTGGATCGGGCGATTTTTTTTCTTTTGGTGGGGTGTTCTCTTGGTATTCTCGATACGTACAGTACATTTTACAGCTATGGTGTCTTGTTTATTATTGTGGGGTTTCTGTTTTGTTTTACGTACCGGAATTCCGTTTGTTCAGCTCCAGTAATATAAATTATCCAATTGCTTTTCAGCCGTCTACTCTTTACCATCACAAGTACTACACGGGGTGGCTCCGAGAGTTGAATAAGGCGGCGGCGGCGGGAGCACAGACTAAGTTACAAACCAGGATATCGAGGCACACCCTTCGGGATTGCGGCGCCGGGCAACGAAACTACCGGCAGTCCGCTCCGAGAATTGCTACGCAACCCCACTCTTGTTGTTGACCTTCCTTTCCTTCCCTCTGTCCCCTTCCTTCCATCATTCCTCCCCCCACCCTATAGATGGTGCGTCAGCGTCCGCCAAACAATATCTCGTCGCCCCGCGCCGAAAAGTCTAGAATAAACAAGGGGAAACACCGTGCATGACTAAGATGAGGGCGCAAGATAAATCAAGCAAGATGCAACCGGTAACGTGATAAGGAAATAAGCAACAGAACAAAGGGTTGCAGGAAAGTAAGAGCAGAAGTGAAAGGACAGGGGTTGCCCAAAGACGCACTGTACTGTACCCGTAAAAGGAACATATGAAATAAGAAAGGCAAAAAGGCCGGTAAACTCGCGGATGGATCTACCTGAGGGGGGAACCGCACGATTTAGTTCGCCCAGTAGCTTTGAGCCAAACATCGCACCACCGGTATGCATTGTGCGGCGGTATTCACACATACGAGCACAATACGTACCGGTCCTGCACTGCAGTCCAAGGCGGAGCCGGACGGCATAAACTAACTGCAAGACAATCCGCCAGCGAATTTCGGGAGATATCAGGACTCCTCCAGACCGAGGTCCAGCAAAGGCGTATATATAAGCCTTGGCGCCAATATGTCGGTATATCTTTGGTTGGGATTGATAAAAGTTGGAAAGGTGGCAAATAGAGACAGTTCGGTCCCTCTCGCTCGTATGAGCACCGGTACCTCGAGCACATAGCTTACTCGTACATACATCTCGGCCGATTCGTGCACTCCCGAATGAAAGGAAGGAAAAAGTAACCGTACCCTACCGGTTCTCGTACAGCACTCCGCGTGGATCGCCACGGTAATGCTTCGCTTTGGCAATATTCGCGCGCCGCGGCCGGTACGGTACCGGCAGTGCAATAAAGGGAACGACCCAAGGGAAAGGATGATACAAAGGAAAAATCCCTTGGAATGCGGAATTCGACATCTGCACGAGCCCACAAAGATGCTTTCCTCTCCAATGATACCCTCACTTTCTGGGGGGCAATTCCGCATGGTTCATTGAAACCTGAGATTGCTTGTACCGGTAATTGAAGCATTTCTTTATCGGCATCGAGGTTCCCATCCATGATACATCTACCGGTATCCATGCATTGACTATGTACCGACCCCACATGCCCGTCTTTCAGCTGTTCACGCACCCCGAGTCCACAGAGAACTCCTTCATTCTTCCACCGCCACCATCACCGCCGCGATATGTCCTGCGCAACAATGGCAGAGGTAAGAAGGAAAGAAGGAATGCATCAAACAACCCTTGAAGCCAGCCACAACAAGCAAAGAAACAGAAAGGGTCAGAGAAAGAAAGTAAAGAAAGAAAAACGAAAAGAAAGAAAGAAAGGAAAGAAGAAGGAGGAGAGAAAAGAAAAAACCGAGAGAGAGAACCCTCCGCAAAATATGTTTATGATATATCACCCAAAACCAACCCACCGGACAATGTCCATGATCCTGAAACCTCCTTGCCACCCTCCCTCAACTCCCTCGCCCCTCTTCTAAGATACCCGTTTGTTATTCCAACTTCCGTGGAGTTGTTATTTTTTTTCACTTTTTCTTCCCTTTGGAAAAAGGGGGGAGGGGGAAAGAAGAAAGACGTTGCTTAGCTCGATTGGTCCAGATCGAACGGCTTCGGGATGCCTATGCAATGGAATGACCAAGCGGACGCTAGGGTATGTTTCCCCCCGACCAACCTGGATCTTTTTGTGGCTGTTTTTTTTGTTTTTGGGTTCTCATTTCTTCTTTCACGAGATAACTATTCGTGTGCTGTATCCTGTGCATAGCACATAGCCTCTGGACTGATAGAAAAGAGTGAGGGGTGAGAGTTTTTCGCAGAGGGGCAGGTTCAAGGCTGACATGGCATCTATGGTGTGGCGGTTTGTGATGCATGGTGCGTGCTTCCTACAGCTATTCGCCAACGTACTGAAGCATCACGTTGTCAAACTCGATTACCAGCAACTGGCTAGAGCCATGGGAGACAGTTTGTCATTCTCTCTCCTCCCCTATCCACCCTATTGACAGCCCTCGCAGATGTAACACCAAAAGCAATATCCCACCGGATCGCCAAGATCAAGGAAAAGGCTCAAGCACACCGCAATAGATGGGACCCGTATGTCAGGCTCGTAGCCTCCCCCAAACGCGTCACCAGTCTGAAGCCTGCACCGATAGGTATGCTCAACGAGGAGGGCGACGACGAGGAGGGTAAGGGATTCATGTATCTAAAGAGCGAGGATGAACAGCCGTTTTCTGCTAACCTTGGAGGCGTGGATGGAGGAGGGGTGGTGGGTGGCCAGATACTTAGCATTGACGAGAGTGGTGGTGGCAATGTTGGGGATGCGGTTGTTGCCGCGCCGGATCATGGTGAGGGTGGTGAGGGTGGTGATGGTGGTGATGGTGATGATGGTAGAAATTATTTGCTTGGGGTAGATGGACAGGGGCACTGGCCCGTCCCTGCTAGCGGGTTTGAGGCTTACGGAATGAACGAGACAGCCAAGGGGATGGTGGGCAGAGATGAGGCTATGATTCATCCCTCATATGAAGCACCGTCCTCGTACCCTTCTGCGACTATCGTCGACGATGATGAGCTTCCTCAGAATGGGGATGAGAGTGGCAGTAGCGGAGATGGGGGCTTCTGTGACGAAGGAGCAGTTATCGAGAATAATGCTTAACCGCCGGTCTTATCCCTACCCTGTTCTTCTTTTCTTCTTTTCTTCTTCTTCTATGATACGATAGCTTGCACGCGTTTTTCTTTCTTTTTTTCCTCCGATACTCGAGTAGATGCAGGGTGTTTTTTTTTTTCCTTTTTTTCCCTTCTCTTTCTCTTACCACTTTTCAATATCCTTCTTATTCACGAGTGCCCTACACCTAGCACGGAATTTCCGACCGCGCAGTTCATTTCCATCCCCTTTATAATATTCCAGTGAGACCTACGGTATCATACGCCACATCTACATGTACGAGTAGGCCAACCACCGGTAATATGAGATGTATTCCAATAATTTTGCGGAGCCGTGGTCTGAAATGCTCGATTAGGGCCCCAGTTCGAAACGCACCCACACCCCGAAATACAGGAACAGAGTACATCACCAATCATCACTCGCTATGTGCTTACGCTCCAGTGCATTGAAGATCTTGATACTGTGTAACAATGAGGTCGATCCGTTTGTTGACAACCGTCTGTCGTCCCGTGATGTATCCCATCGATGCTCTTCCCACTTCACCCTGCGAAGGAATCGGCTGAATGGTGAGCCAGGGAAGCTACTGTACTTGCAGGGTCCCGGTCCTCGGTTGTAAACGTAAATTTCCCTCCCCTCCTCTCCCCCTTTACCAGCACCAGTACAGTGACTTAGATGTGAGCAGGGTAAGACTAAGCGAGTATCGCCATGAGAGAAACAACACTGTTGTGGTGATATTAGTGATCTCCACCGAGTCGCTGTTGTTTGTTTCCGAAGTTCTCGGCGGTGATTCTAACTTAACCCTGTTGGAAGAAATGAGCTATATTTCTGTACCGTGTAGCCCTCTCCAACACAATGGGAAAAACAAGACTTTTGGGTAACTAACTTTTTTTTTTGCACCGGTAACTCCGGCTGCAACTCACCCGCCCCCATTCATCACGAGTGGAGCACTCGTGTGCATTCTCGAGGCTTCCAAGAGCGCACAGACGGTTTTCGGGAATCTCACTGAATCACGGCAGAAGCCTTGTCGAGCGATGGGTGGATGTGCTTTGATACTTGTACGATATGAATCTTGTGGCTGACGACGCAGAACGCAGGGCTTCCCGCTCCCGCGGCCTTGGTGGAGTGTCTGGTGAAACATCCGTGGAGCAGGGGGGTGCTGCCTGCGGTCCCGGGCGGATTGGCTCTTTAGTGCATGAATCGCATTGTACGAGTACTGCAGGTACCAGATGGGACTGGGGGGGGGGGGTTGTGGGCTTCTTCTTCTGTGATGTACCCGAAGTACTCGAATACCGTACTAGTACAGTATTTCTTGAGAAAGTTGGAGAGTACAAGTACCGTGTGGTGGTTTTAGCGTACCGGCACTGGAAGCTAGTAGGATGGTGCACGGTACCGTACTGGTACTACTACAAGTGCCACATTTCAGAGCACAATCGTAAGATGAAGGGTCGGTGGTATTATACTCGAGTATAGTAGTGGCTGCCCCGAAGAAGGCAGTGTTGTGTGAGTGACCGTCTGGAGCAGTAAAGCGCCCTGAACTGTACTAGTACTGTACCAAATTGACACGGCAGCTTGCGGTACGGTACTTGTATTCGGTCCCGTGTACCGGTATGGTAATAAAACTACAAACGCCATAAATCCCGGAGTCTCGGAACCGACATTAGCACCGCGGAACACAAAGATGTGTCCGGTCCCAAGTCCCGTGCAAAGCAATGATACCATACCGGTATTATTGACACTCCACTGACCTCGTGATACGAGTACCGTACATGTAACAACAGAAGCCATCCACAGTGCAGTGAACTACTGTACCACCTACCCCACCGCCCCATCCCGGCGTTATCGTGGCTCGCTAGTGACGTACAAGTAAGTAAGTTACGATGCTCGAGTACCGTACTCGAGTACAAGTGTGTGGCCGTCAAAGACCCTAACGGCAGGGATCAATTACTTGTACTTGCAATTTGTACGGTAAATTGGCTGTGCACGTCTGAGCACTCATACCGGTATTAAATTCTGACTCGAATCAGAATCGTTCTGTACCCGTTCTTCCCTTCCTGCGGAACTCAAATGTTCGGGTACTTCATACCGAACAATTATCCTATACTTGCACAGTACGAGTACAGTACTGTACTGTACTTGTACTCGGATGCTTGTGGACCCTGTGCTTAGCTCCCTGTACCTGTTACTGCAATATACAATTCCCCACACACACACACACCTTCCTTCCCCGTCTCCAAGAAGATTCGGAAAGAAATGCGAGAGAAACAAGCGAGCAAAACAGGAGCTTGGACCTCTGCGCGTTACAATTAATTAATTAGTTAATTAATTTATCGGGGCACTTGCTTCCAGTAAGAGTACTAGTACTGTAGCCGGTCCAGAACGTCAACCAATCACAGCCGTGCCTACAGTACTCGAGTATATTGGCTTTCCCCTCTGGTAAATCGACGGCGAAATGGAAATCCACTCTTCTCCGCCTTCCCCCCACTTCCTCGGTATATAGGAGAGGAACAATGAGCGAACGGGCGCCTCCTGAATACTCGTACGATACAGTGCCAGTTATCATAATTATTATCTGACCTCCTGCCTCGCTTGCCTTCTTTGCTTTCCTCCGTTCCTTCATCCGAGCTGAAGGACGGAATGGAGCGAGCATGGTAGAAAGCCATAATTCTGTCAGCCTACGGGCACTAGTACTGCACCGGGCCACGCCGGCGGGGGCGATTACATGGGAATGGAGATAGCCGTAATGTTGGTATGTAACAGAGTGCGGTACTAACAAAGCATTGTGCTGTTTCTCCCCAATCCGAGTCTCTCTCCAGCTCGCCTTTATCCTGCCAAGCCAAAGCTCGTGGCATCACGTCTTATCACTCAGTCTAAGCAAAGAAAGAAAGTGGGGGAAGTTTATTTGTGATACAGTCACACCTACAATAATAATACTACCGGTACAATTGTGAACGCAAAAAAGTTGCTCACTATGGGGATCAGCCAATAGCGAGGCCAGAAAGACAGCCAACACACCAATCACCGTCCTTCCCTTGACTCCCCGTTCACTATAGCTAGGTGCAACTGTACGGTACCCGAGTACTTGTACATGCCTGTACTAGTACATTCTGCCAAGTCTCACCTAGCTTACAAGTACCGTATTGTACTACTCGAGTATAACAGCTCGGGCGATATGCACTACAAGCAAGATATCGCACAAATACTTGTTTGTACCAGCACAGTACAACACCTCGATGACCGGCAAAAGGCTCACTTTGTGCGCATAGCGCTAGGAACGTCAAGTGATAAGTTAGTACGGTTAGGGTGCGATATTACCGCGCCATCAGAATTATCGACAACCGTCACGTTTTTTTACCCTTCGCGCTCGATAGGAATTATCTCAACGCCTGGGTTTTTCCGATCCGATCGTTTTGTCCCAGGAAGGAAGTACTGTACCCCAAAACAGCGGGAGGGGGGGGGAGCATATTTGTATTGGTTCTCAGATATGCACATTTTTATTTTATTTACCACATATTTCTTTGATCCCTGCCCTCGGGTGCTTGCTTGCTTGAGGAAAGTGCCGTATTGGAAGGTTCTAGGCATTTTTTCTTTTCTTTTTTTATCTTGTTGTGTCTGCTGATGATGGGTTTGTGTTGATTACTAGATAACAGATAACAGAGAGGGAGGAGGGAGATGAGTTGTTGTGCAGATTTGAGATTTTTGGAATGCTCTGCGGTATATGTGGTGGGCGGTTGTGTTTTTATCGGATCGGGGGAGTGGGGGGGGGGGGGTGGGAATGGAGATATGCCGTACCGGAAAAATCCTTACTTGTAGAATTTGTTATCTCCATTCACTCCTAATCTTGTCACTATGAAGGGACAAATATTCCTGAGAAGGATTAGTGCCTTCCGGGCACAGTATAGACTGAGTACTGTACTTGTACTCTGACTGTGTTGGATCTCATTAACTGGTTTTCGCGATTCCGTTAACTTGCGCAATCAGTTCCATCATGGTCTGATTTCGTGATTTGCCGCGATATTTGATACCCATGAAGGTAGTGGAGTCTAAGGATTTTTTTTTTACGGTACTCGAGTACCGTAGAAGATTGGTAGCAACGAGAGGGGAAGAGGAGGGTCGGGTAAATATCCTATATCAATCGGGATGAGGGGGAGAGAAGGGGGATCTGGGACTTTTTTATGCAGGTGTGATGTGTTTTTTATCTTGCAGTCCTTACCTGCTGGGCGTCGTGGATACTCGTACTTGTGCTGTACTATGTCAGTGTGGTATGGTGCAGGACTGCACTGTACGAAGTACAGCTGCACCTGTCTATAGTGAACCTGGCTATAGTGGATGGGGAGTAACGGGAAAGGCTGTGATTGGTGTGCTCACTTCCTTTCTGGCCTTGCTATTAGCTAGTTCCTATACCGAACAGCTTTACTGCGTTTACAACTTGAGTATCCCCGGGTGCTACTGTACGGGTGAGGCTGGTATTGCGCTAATATTTGTACGTTGTGTGTCCGCGCGTGCCTTCGGATGATCGTATTCTGTGTTGAATACGAGATGGGAGAAACCGGCCTGGGTTGGCTGGCTGGAATTGACATGGCCTGAATTGACCTGTGTGACTTTTCCTTGCCCGTCCTACTCGTAGACTGTTTTCTGTGGAAAGATGTGACTTGGGCTTTTGCTCTCGCACGTACCAACACCAATACTTATTCTACTCTCGGAATTCACGGCAATCTTTCGGTACAAGGAAGTGAAGGCAAGAGACCCCCCCCCCCCCCCCCGTTACCAGTAGTTTGTAAGTATAATAATCTGCTGGTAAGTTAGCTACAGATAGAAAACCCCTTTTAGTAGAATGCTAGTAAAGGAAGTATTTGAAAGTTTTTACTGCATCGAAATCATCTTATGGAGAAACCCTTACACTAACGCCGTACGGTGTTT